TCCCGTCAGTTGGCAAACCCTCCAAGCCACGGCTTTTAGCGCACGGTCATAGATTCGAGCGCATTCAGATTTATCATAGTGAGGAGAGAAACGCGCCGAGGGTCGACCTCATTCTCTCCCCCAGCGTTTAGTGACCGCCCAGCTGCTCTGGCTACTAGAGCTCACTTAATGACCGAATATTTGCGCGGTTATTATAATGGCCCAATTGGACACAATCGTCAACTCTATGGAGTTGACGATTTTTCCCATTTGGGCAATATTGGGTCTTTCTCTTTCTTATTGGTTGTATTTCTGATTTTAATTATCGCGCGCAAGTATTTGGTTATTTAAATAATTACTCGTAGTATTTTTGAGTTTCATACACTCTATTGTTTTATTTTTTTTCATTCTCCCGATATGTCCTCCCCCTTCATTTAACCCTTATTACTACCTGTCCCGTATTACAGAAGTAGGGGGTTTTGCGTGCTGTTCTGGACCCTCAATTGAACGTTTACCAGGAAATTCTACATTTCTGACGTAGTAAGACCAGTCCGCACCCCCTACTCCTCCTGTACGGTCGCGGCCAGAAACAATTATGATGAGAATTATTATATCCAGCAAGAATTACTTGCTTAAACAGTAAAAATGAGTCGTAGACATTTGACAGCCTGCTTTTTGCCCCTATGAGGACAGCGAGTCGAGGTCCAACACGGTAAAAATGTGCGCAATGCAGGCAAGAGTACTGACTAGATTCAAAATTTTGATGCCGAGGATTCCTGCCTGCTTTCAAACTGAGTTGGTAGTTATTGGTGCAATTGTACGAGCTGGCAAGTTGATAAGTGTAAGACTATTTAAAATGCTCAAAAGATACGGCGGTCAAATATCGTTTGCTGAGACGGCATTTTATATGGCGGACATGCAAATGAGGCCGGTCAAACAAGTCCCTCCCCGCCCGTCATGGTGTGTGGATAAGTTTAGCTTCGGAACTACGTGTAAGTATAGGACTCTAAGCTGACAACTATGCAGTCTGTCGGAACCGAATACTGCCTCAAATAGGCACTAAAACGCGTAGCGCTGTTACGTCAGACATAAACGAGGCAAAAATGATGTATAATGCGTGAGACGGAAGCTGCAACGCAATCCTTCTAATGCGACCTCGTGACAACTCTAATAACCTGAGCACTGAGTAAACGGAGACCAGCAGGTCAGTAACTACAGTATGGCGAATGCG